CCCCCGCAGGGCCTTGTAGCCGAGCGCGTGGGTTTTTTTTTACCAAAGCAGAGCCGTGTGTCTCAGCACACAGTGTTTTCTCAGCTCAGAGGCATCCAGCCCCTCGGAGGGAGGTGGGAGTTGTGATAGGGACCGTGTGACAGCTCTGCTGATCACAGGATGCTTGAGCAGGAGTGGCCGGAGGGAAGGGAACCCTTCTTCCAGTGCAGTGGGCTGACACTGCTGTCTGAGCGGGCTGAGCACCTCTGTTGTTTCCAGGGAGGCGGTCCCCCGAGGACTAGTGGGCTTTTCGCTCCACTACCTGAAATGCCACAGTTAGAAATCAGAGCTAACCATACTGTGAACACTGCCTGCCGTCACACAGTAGTGTCGACACACTTGACATCTAGTCTCTCTCCTGAGAGCTTCTGGGCCACACAGACCCCTGGGCCTCTAGGACCTGGGGCAGATCTGAACTAGGACACTCAAATGGAGCGAGAGGACATTTCACCTGCTGCTTGGCCACGCCCAGGAGTGCCCTGGGTCCGCGGTGGCTTCTGTTGGCTCTCGGGCCAGTTTCAGCAGTTCTGATTCTGGGCTCCCCATGTCTAGTTAGCTGTGGCCATCTCCACAATGCACAGTGGCAGCTGAAAGCTGCCTTGTTCTCTGAGTTGGGGTAGGCCGTGCGCCAGCTTTCTTCCGAAGATCTGTCTCCCCTCTCCCACCCCCCCCAGCCCCTCGATTTCACCGGGTCAGATGAACATTCAGGGTCATGGCTCATTTCTGGGATTCTTCAGCCCATTTGCACACATTAGGCGGAATCCAGCGTATCTCAAGGGTAAACTTGCCTGCCGTGTGCAGAGAGGAAGAAATCACGGATGTTCACCCCTGGCCCTTGGCTAAGGGTGATCCCGGGCTCTGTCCCTCTCCAAGGCGCTCACGGCTCTTCAACTCTGTAACAGCCTGCCCAGAGAGTTCCCTCCTTCGTGTTCATCCTTTCTAAAAACCCCACCCCAAGCCTGCTGAGAACCACGCCCCGTGCTGGGGCAGGGGACACAGAGGCCAAAGAGACGTGGCCCTTCCTCTCAAGGCAGGAGTTAACAGTCTGGTGCAGGAGATGGGGCCCCGATCAGTCACCGATGCTGTGATGCCGTTTAGAGGAAAGATCTGAATGGGAGCTGCTCCGTTACAGCGCGGCGGCGTGAGGGAGGGCTGGTGGGAGGGTGAGTTGCAGAGCTCCACTGAGAAGAGCAAAGAGCCATTCATGGGATGAAGTAAAAGAAAGGGGCTAGAGAGAGCATATCAGCCTTGATTTACCTCCCACCTATACACGCGTGTATACCATATATGCTGGAGCCACTTCATGTGCAAGTTACATCAGCAAATTTAAATGGGGATGTCTGAGAGTGCAGGCTGTTCTACCTGCTACCTCCCTAAGGAGCCAGGTGGGAAGTTCCAATGGCTGTGCCAGGTCCGTGATTCATACACATTTTTTTAAAACCCAGATACTCTTCTGGTTTTCAAACAAGGAACCTGTTAAAAAATATGGGAAAGAAAATAACTACAGGCAGTCCCCGGCTTATGAGTGAGTTCTATTTTAAAGTCAAATTTGTATGTAAGTTGGAATAATGAGGTACTGTTTATAAACAAACCCACTGCCATTGAGTCAGTTCTGACTCATGACGACCCTACAGGACAGGGTAGAACTAACCACCCGTGGGTTTTCGAGAGTGTAACTCTTTACTGGGGTAGAAAGCCTTATCTGGTTTCAAACTGCTAACCTCAGAGTTAGCAGCTCAACACGTGACCATTATGCTGTAATAAACACTTCCAGATACACTAAAACATTTTGACATAATAGCACAGTAATAAAACATAATAGTCATGTTTGGAGGCATGTAACAAATAGTGCCCATTTGTTATGAATTGTATGTCCTTCAAAATTTGAATACAATAGGTCTTAAGGGGGTTGGTTTATAGCTACATGTAACCTGAGGACTGCCCATGCATTAGCCCTAGGTTAGTGTGTGTGTGTGTCCCTTCTATGGAATCCTCCAGTGGATTTTCAAGGTTCATTTGACTAAATATGATTGGGCTCGTATCTGTGGACAGGAGAGCCACTTGCAGAAGTGGTGACCGGTGAACAAGTGGAAACTTGGTCTCAGACCAGCAGAGGGCCATGGACCAACCTTTGGGAGCGACTTCATTCAGCCCTTGGGCATCTCGCTATGTCTGGGCCCAAAGACAGAGACTTGGGAATCTTCAAGGTTGAGATGGCTCGGGGTAACTGCCCCCCACCCTCCCACCCCGCCAGAAGGGGCAGAGTCAGAAACACAGTGGAAAAGGAGAATCTCTCACAGTTGCCAGAGAGGTGGGTGAAAACTAGAAGAGCAGGTCGCAGAGGCCAAGGGAGGAAGGAGATTAGGACCAGCAGGAGGCGTGTTTGCTTGGGTTGCTGGCTGATGTGGGGCCAGGCCAGCCGAGAACAAGATGTGGCCCCTCAGGATTCTCTGGAAGAGCGAGCTGTTGAGTCAACGAGAGAGGAAGGGTTTCATTGGCAAATAGTCTGACGGCACTGGAAGAAGCGAAAGGAGTCCATGGTGAGAGGAGATAGTACCTTGCCTTCCCCTCCTTTCCAGAAGCCTGCTTTAGACCTGCTGTGGAGAGGGAGAGGCTGTGGTTTGGGGCAGACACCTCCCTGATGGAAGAAAGGAGTAGAGAGCACTGTGGGTCTGGAGGCTGAGGCTGAGGACAAACAAGCCGTGGTCTTGATGGGCTCTAGCTCAAGGGGAAAGCGACGGGCTCCTAAGGGCATGGCAAAGGAGCCAGCGCCTAGCTACGGGTAAGCGGGGGCTCAGAAGTAGCTTCAACTACAAATTGTGCTTGCCCCACCTCAGAAGGGGTCAGATTTATTCCTGCTTCAACACACCACACACTTTTAGTCGCCCCTCCGTGCCCTAGACAGGCCAATGTGGCGCCCTTAGCCCCGGCTGCGAACAGGAGCCAGGTCCCTGGCTGGGACGCAAGTGCACAGGGTGTGAGACTCCGGAGGCAGAGTCCAGCACTCAGTTGCTGTGGCCGTGGCAAGGAGTTCTCAAGGAGGAGATGCCCTGTGACTCAAGTTGAGTTGGAAGCTCGGGGTCTGGAGTCAGACCGCCGGGCAGGTCTTGTCTCTGCTGCTTCGTCTCTGTGTGCCTCGAGTTCTTCATTGATAAAGTGGGACCATTTCTGGTGGACCCTGCGAGGACCGATGAGATGCCGCAGGTAAAGCAGGTGGCAGCATCGGACACATACCACCCTTTTGGGTTAACGGTTGCTCTTGGTATGAGCACTCCCAGGGGTAAGGCCCATCATCACGGCCTTTTGGACCATCTCTTGATGTGAGCGGTGAATGGAGTGGCTCCGTCTCCAAATTTTACTTAGGGTAACTAGTTCTGTGAAAAGGACCGCTTGATGTTTGCTGTTGCCCAAGACCAGCCCTTAAAGGAGCAGGGCTGGGACCTAACTGGAATGACGTTTGCTCTTGTGACCCACAGAAAATCCTTAGAGTTTGAGGACGCGTCCAGTCTCCAATCCCTGTACCCCTCTTCTCCCACTGAGAATGGGACTGAGAGCCAACCCAAGTTTGGATCCAAAAGCACTTTAGAAGAGAATGCCTACGAGGATATTGTGGGTAAGCAGTGGCTGAGGTGAGGGGGAGGGGCTGGGTCACCTCTCGGGGCGTTGGGGGCGAGCATGAGGAAGACACACGGGTCCCACCTCATTCACCGCACAGAGACGTGGCCCCCCCCTTTGGGGAGACTGCCACAGCAAATGGGCATCAGCGGAAGTAAAGACTGAGCTGCTGCGTGATTAGAGTCTGGCTCCTGAATGGACGGAAATCCAAAGCCGCTCTGGGATCCACGTTGTCGAGGTTAGGTGCCCCCAGTCGGTGTGCAGGGTGAGCAGACACCCTGCCCGGTCCTGCACCACGCTCACACGGGTCCCTGTGCTCAAGCCCGCTGTTGTTATTGCAGCCCCGGTGTCAGTCCTTCTCACGGAGGACCTTCTGCGTTTTTGCTGCCTCTACTCTGCTGGGCCTGATGCCCTTCTCCGGGACTGGTCTCTCCTGGCAACGTGTTCAAAGTCCCCTGTATCTTCTCAGGCTGCCCGCCGGAAATACAGCTCCGGACTGTCACAGCCTCCGAAGGAGGGCAGCTATGCCAAAGAGGCAGGGCGTGTTGTCTCGCACAAGGGGGGAGCTGCGGGGGTGGGCACGCAGGAGTTTGATCTGGGCATTCACTTCCATTGTGCCCTCACCCCCGGCCCTGGAGCTTCAGATCTGCTCAGGTGAAGTGCCGATCTCAGTGGAGGTGGACGGAGGGGAGAGAAACTGGGTGCTGGGCACTGAGGTGCACCCCATCTCCTTGGCTCTCTCAGGCCTGGAGGCGGGAAAGCGGTCTCAGGTCACGTGCAGAGAGAGCGAAGAGGCCACAGGAAAACAACTGGGCGCCTGTCCCTCAATCAAACAGCCGAGGGCCATCCGTTGCCCCATGTCGTCCGAGCCGCTACTCTTGTAGTTTCCGCCTGGTGACTTGCCGGGGCAGCATGGTAGCAGTGCTCAGATGCCCTGAGGCTTTGCCTTCCTGGCACAGTGTATAGTGTGTCACCAGGCCAACGGTGCCGTGCCAGGGATGCCCTTGGGGGTAAAAGCAGAAGGGTCTAGAGGGCAGGGTTTCCCTCCTGACCACGTGTGGAAAGACCGCAGCTGAGGGCTGCAGTCGTGGGGATCAGACCTCCCACTCTTCTGCCTTCCCTTTGTGGGGGCACGTGTCCTCTCTCTCGTTTGGAACACGCTATACTGTCTTCTGCCCAGAGCCCTTAGCAGCACCCAGCGTAGCTTCTGCAGGCTGCAGAGGGGGCAGGGGCCTGGGGATTTTTGGTTATCTCCTCCCGCAGGACCAGGAACTGCCAACACGATGGTCCTCACTATTCTCCCACTGCCCAGGGGTTCCCATGGGAGGATGGTTTTGCATCAACTCACTGAAATAAAAGGACCCCCTCCGACCATTCCCCCTGTCGAGAGTTCCGGGATGCCAGGACTGGTGGAGGGTTGGGTTTTGCGGGGGGAGGTGGGGGGAGTGGGCTGGGGCCAGTGTCTAGGGGAAGAATTTGGGAAGTACTGTTCTGGGCGACAAGAAGTGTCCTCTAGGCCTCCGTAAGTCGGTGAGTGTGAAAAGGCAGAGAGAAGCCTTGGCCTCCTTGTGTGTTAGAAAAGGGGCCTTCAGCTTTGGGACGTGGCATTGGGGCGGGGGCGGGGTCTGATAATGGAGGAGAAGCTGATGTGCATCTTGGGTAGGGGAACCGCAGTGTCAAGTGGCCCAGAGGCAGGCACTGTGTGACCTTGTCTGAAAGTCACGAGGGAGTGGAGAGCCGGGAACCATTCGACATCAGCCCAAGACTGATGTCGGTAGAGGGTTCCGACAGCCCTCTACCCTCCAATTTCCTTACAAGTTCTGACACCAGCCATCTCCCCTACGGCCTTCTCCATTTTTCTGCCGGGTTCACGAAATTCCTTGTAATAGCCTCAAAGACCCCGTGGGTAGCGCCCACAATGAAGGCATTGATTCGGGAAGTCACAGTTCATAGTTCCAGGACGGACTCGAGGGATACAGTTCTCTGATCAGGGCAGCCTCGTCTCAGCCAGCCTGCAGACTTCTCTCTGGTGCTTGGCCTCTCAAGTCTGGCCTCTGCCTCGCTCAGGGCAGTGTTCACAAAGCTCTTTGGCTCTGCCAGTGAGTGCCCAGAGACACCCCACCCCGCCATCAAGCCACTTCCAGTGAACATGCTCAGCTGGCATGCTCTGTGGGCTGGCACTCTGTGGCCTCCTCATCCTGTGGGCGGGAAGTGTGCCCCATCTCTTGTCAGTCTCCTCGTTCTGCTGCTGTCTTGCCGCCGCTTCTCTCCATCTCCCAGGGTGCAGCCTGCTCTCTGTGCCTGCTGGCCTAGGAGGTTCTCAGTGCAGGGACTCCAGCTGCGACACACACATGTGCAGCTCTTCGTAGCGAGATCCCCACTTTCCATCTTGACTCTAGGCTTGGTTCTCTCTTTAAGCCCACAGGGACGGCAGAGTGGATCAGATCCCCACAAGGGTTTCCTGCCTCTCATGTGCATGGACTTATCCCCGACAAGGGTGCCATGCACCTCACTTGCATTATGACCGAGCTGTCCAATTCCCTGCCGGTGCCACACGCATCTTGTTGGCATAGTCGCATGACCCCTTGGGTGGGAATTATGACCATGTCAAGAAAGGCCGTGTAAAAGCTAGCCATCTCGTTGCATAGAGGTAGCATGCGGGCTGCAAGGTCAGAGTGGTGGCATCTTCCTTCACTGCTCCCCGCGCTGGGTCTTCGGAGTATTGCGTAGGGAGCAGGGCAGGGAGTGACCCAGGCCGGCGGTAAAGAGCATATGGCAGCGGTTCTCAACCTTCCGAATGCCGAGACCCTTGAATACAGCTCCTCATGTGGTGGTGACCCCCCCTACCATAAAATTATTTTCGTTGCTACTTCATCACTGTCATTTTGCCATGTTATGAATCGGGTGACCCCTGTGAAAAGGTCGTTCGGTGTCCCCCTCCCCCATGGGGTCACGACATACAGGTTGAGAACTGCTGGCAGATGGCATCTGTGTTTTGAGTTTTGCGCCAGGCTTGTGAGGAGGGAGGTGGGAGTGGGTTTCAGCGTTGAGCCTGGGCAGTGTCCTGTGCTGACCAGCCCCGGAAGGCTGGAGTGAAACTCAAGGGAGGATATTTTTCATCTGTTGGTTTCTGATCACCCCGCCTTTCTCCTCCCCTAAAGAAAAGGGCCCTTGTTGAAGGGTGATGTCGCTCACTCTTGCCTCAGATTGACCAGTGGCTCTGACTTCCCAGGAGCCCCGTTGCTGGCCTTGGCCCCGCCTGCACTCCGAGGGTACAGTGGCTCCTGTGCCCTGCAGATGTGCTGCGCTGCCTCATTCCCACAGGGAGAGAAAGCCACCGCCTTTAGGGAGCATGATGTGGGGGCTGTGGGGGAGGCAGAGAGCCCATGCTGACTCTCCATCGTGCGTCTTGGCTGTTCTCTCACTGGATGGGAGTGCCGTGTCTGTTACGAGACTAGGGGCCAGTTGACCCAGAGGCCAGCATGTCTTCTCTCTGAAGGACGGGGCTTCAACGAGGGGCCTTTGCGAGGTTGCTGGCCTCCCTCCCACACCAGGCACGATGCCTGGGGAGCTGGGGAGGGCCACCGCGCAGCAGGCCGGGGTGTATCCTCCTACTTTGCAAGAGGGGAGCTCAAAGGAGCCCTGCTGTCCTGCTGCTTCCTGGAGCTGTTCATTTTCGCTTGTCCAACTTGACCTTGGCCCTGGAAGATGCTGTTATGCTGGTATTCTACAAAGCTTCATAATTATTTCCATTCTGAGGCTGACACTAAAAAATGCACCCAGGGAAGCAGCCTGTGAGGGAGTTATGTGGAGTGGCCTCGGCGCCTGACCAGGGAGCCTGCGCTGCATCCCTGCAGAGATCCCCACTCCCATCAGCTAGCTGGGATTCAGAGAGAGCTTCCAGGAACTTGAGTGGGATGCGAGCAGGGAGCAGAGCCAGTGGGCCTGTACTGCACAGCTTCCCAAACACTCTCTCTCTCTCTCTCTCTCTCTCTCTCTCTCCACTCCCTTGTCTTCCTCTCTCTGGGAAAGCCAGTGAGGAACAGGGGGCACCCACCAGGATGGAGAAAAGGAATGACCGAGGGAGGTCCAGGGGACCTGGGTGCAGGGCTTTCAGGGTGAGGGGTTCAGACAATAACTGGTCCGTTAGAGTGCCCAGCTGATGGGCCACCCGTGGTTGGGAGGAGCTGGGCTCCTACTCTAATGTGTGAGCGCGAAGAAGCGGAGAACCAAGAGAAGCAATGGGTTGGAAGAGGGGAAGGTCAAGAGGCAGCTGCAGGCCCCCCACTACCCTAGCTGTGGGTGTGAGCCAGACTTAGGGCCCTGGAGCATGCTCAGTGCCTGTGTGTGTGCAACCCGCCCCCTCCCTCCCCAGATGGTTCTTCCATATGTGGCAAATGACCATAAGGCGCCTGGGGAAGAAGCAGGACTGGGCAGGGCTGGATGCTTCCAGAGGAGGATTAGTGTGAGAAGTTTTGAGTCTTGACAACCCCCTCAGAAGAGTGCAAAACAGGAATTCTTGGCGATGCCCTTGTCCCTTATCTCATCAGCAAAGCTGGGAAAGGCCGCAACCTCTGGCTTCCCCAGCTGGAGGCTGATGGGATGGGGCTGCGCAGGGCCAGTCCTTCATGGAAGAGAACCTCCTCCTTTGACCTCCTTCAAGGGCACCGTGGCGCTCCCTTGAGGAAGCTGGGCAGGAATGCTGGTGAAAGTTCTGTGGTTGGCCCGGCTTCCTGCCAATCATCCATGCCCCTGCACCATCGTCTGCCTACACTGTGGTGAAGCTGCCCACTGCTCCCTCAAGGCAGTCCTCAGGACTGCTCCCCAACCACCTCCCCCACCTCACCCCTCCGGTTCTAGTTCAAGGCCTTTGCTCAGGGTTTGCACTCAGCAGGTTCCATTTAGCAAGGTTCTGAGACACAGGACTCTCCACCCTGAGCCTGCTTGGTGTCTGCCGCATCCCTACCTGCTGGGCACTGTTGCTGCCCAGAGAAATTGCTCAGGAGATCTCTTTGAGGCAGCTCAGAAGGGCCAGGAAGCTGGGGCTCAACTGTGAAGGGGCCCAGATAAGGCAGAGGAAGGGGCCAGCAGTCTTTTCCTGGAGAAATGACAAGTGGCCTGGTTATATCGGAGAGGATGCTGGAGGACAGAGAGGCAGGGACTAGGCCTGGGCAGGAAGAGCATGTACCCCAGGCTTTGCCGAAGTCTGGTTGCCAGAGGCACCCCTGGCCCCGAGACCCGCATCTTCCCAAGCATTTCCCCCGCGGTGCCTTGGACGTGCAGGGATGTGGTACATCTAGTGCTTCTGGGGACCTCAATCTCTTGCGGTGTTTCCCCAAGCCCTCGGGTTTTGCAATGGTACCAAAAGCTTAGATTGGGGGGAAAGATGAAAAGTGGAGAGGAGGAACACACCTATCTAAAGCATTGGTTCTCTGCATTAGGGGGGCAGCGTTGTGTGTCATCCCCCGGACACGTTTGGTGGCTGTCATGTTATCTGGTGGGGAGAGGCCAGAGTGATGCAGCCCCAAATGTCAATGTCAGTGGAGCTGGGGCTGATTCAAAAGGCTGGGGCACGGTCTTCCTGTAGGTCAGGGGATGATGATACCGACGTAGGCTGGTCACCCGGGCCAAGGAATTTGGACTCCACCGAGCTTGTAATAAATGTTGTTCCTACCATGATCTGGATAGTGCTGCTCTGGGCCTGTTTCCAGGGAGCAGGAAAAGTGTCTCCCGGCAGCCCCCCATTCTTGGCCGCTATCCCCTATAGGGCATATACTGGGGAGGAACCAAGAAGTGGGCAGTCCATCCTGATCACTCCCAGTGTGCCTGGCCTCGGGGAGGCTGGAGACCAACGTGCAGGGATGCCAGGTTTGAGATTTGTATTCTTGCAGCGCGGCCGCCAGGGCCAGCTCTGCTTAGTCAGGGTTCTGGAATGGAGACAAGTCATTTTAACAGCCTGAGTGAGTTACAGAGATCTGCTCAGTTGCTATGGACTCAGCCTAGTGTTTGGGAATCAACTTCTTCTAGTCCCAGATCCTTTCCCAACCCGTTTTTGACCCATCAATGTATATTGCCCTCTTCCAGTCCAGTGAGCTATGCCCGAGTCCCTGTGCCGCTTCCCCAAAGGGTAGCTCCTAAGCTCACCGATGGTCATCAGTCCGTGGGAGCCCCGCAGCCCACCCGCAGGGTCAAGTCGGTTCCTGTAAAGATTACGATCTTGGAAGCTCTGGGGGCCGGTCCACTGGGTCCTGTCGGGTGGCTGTGAGTCAGATGGACTGGAGGCCACGGTTTGGCAAGTTCAGAGTAAGCACATAGGTCCCATTCCTGGCTAGTGTGAAGGTTGAAATGCTTGACTCGCAGCCAAAAGACTGGCAGCTTAACCCCACCCAGACGTACCTGAGGAAGACAAGTCAAGCAGTCTGTTTCTAAAAGTCACAACCTTGACACCCCGGGGCAGCGTTTCTCTTGTGCACGCAGGGGGTCTGCATATGAGTCGGAATCTTGTCGCCAGCAACCAACAACTACAGAGAGGAGAGGCCACAGTGGAAGGAATCTCAGCTTTGAAAACTGACGACTCTGTTAACCTGTAAGGCTTAGGTTTTCTCCTGTGCTCTGTTCCCGGAACACTTGGTCTCCCAGCAGCCTTTGCTTCTAGTCCTGGAGTTCTGTCATGCCCCAGCTCCCTGAGCAATGGGGTCTGAGCAGTTGTGCTGTGTGGGTACGAGACACAGCCAGGGTGCTTGGTAGGGCAGGCCTGGGGCTCAGTGGTCACCAGGCTTGGTCCTACTACTGGACAGTGAGACACTGGTGTGAGCCTTTCTCTCACCTCCTGAAATACCCGGTTCTAGGCCTGGTCACTACAAGTTCCAAATAGTGGCGGTAGCAGCCAGGGTGGTGGTAGTGTGTGTGTGTGTGTGTGTGTGTGTGTGTGTGTGTGTGTGTGGTGGGGTGGTCTGGAAAAGACAAGGAAGGGAAGGAAGGAGTAGGGGTGGGTAACAGGGCTCTATTTATTCCGAGACCTCATGGACCCTGTCACTGTGTCTGCTGCCAGGATTGAGCCAGGACTGACCTGACTCTGGTTAGCGTGTTGTAGAAAAACCCAGGCCTGGGTCGGGGAGGATGCCGCAGAGGAGGAGGGTTTTTCCCCTCCAAGTCTTGTGTTCTCCTGGGGCAGGGACCCTGCTTTGAACTTGGAACGTCTCTGAGATTCTTCTGGGAGCACCACTGTGGTCCCTACTGCCAGGGACTTAGGAAGCAAGACCTTCCTCACGCTCCTTCTCCCAGACACGTGTCAAGACTTTCTCCCATGCCGTGTCTCTCAGAAGGAGCCTTTAACCCCAGAGAGAAGCAGGGGTTGTCCTCTGTTTGCTAAGGTCGGCGGTAGAGTCAGACACTGTCGTAACTGAGCAAACTGCAGTGCGTAGACTTACTCATTGATCTGGGTGCTGGAGTGACCTCAGTGAACCAGACGAAACCCCCAGAAGGCTCACCGAACAATCCAGCCAGCGGGAGGGAGAGCTGGTCAAGCCCTGCTCCCTGGAGTTCCCTAGATTTGTGGAAGAATGTCTCCACGCCCATCCCCAAAAGTTGCTTCTCTGGGCGAGGGCCGGAAAAAGGACAGCTGTGCGCTGTGTAGCCTGGGAAAGCCTGCCCTACCTTGAGCTGCGTGTCCATTCCGGCAGCTTTCCCTGCACGGGAAGTGGAGCCAAGGAAAGATTCCTGGTGTTGGCTGTGTCCTCTGGCTGGGCACAGGCAAGAGTAGCTAGCGGAGCCAGTCTTGTGCAATCCCTGAATATATAAAACAGTCCAGACGAAGCTGAGCAGAACTGGGAGGGGCGGGGAGAGGGGCATGGGGGGGTGTTCAGCTTCTGGACCTGGGGCCGGTCTCTGTCTGTAGCTGCCTCACTGCAGACAGGCAGCCACATGCCAGGCAGAAGCCATCCCCTTTGGTTCACAAGAATTCTGCTCCTGCGTGTGTGTGTGTGTGTGTGTGTGTGTGTGTGTGTGTGTGTGTGTGTGTACACACACGCGCATGCGCTTTCTTTCCTTCATCTAGCTTTTCCCCCTCTGCAGGAGATCTGCCCAAGGAGAATCCATATGAGGATGTGGACATAAAGAGCAGAAGGGCAGGTCGGAAGTCCCAGCAGCTGCCTGAGAACTCCATAGACGCTCTGCACAGGATGTGGAGTCCCCAGGACAGGAAGTACAACACCGCCACCACCCAGGTAATGGCAGCCCCGCTAGGCCTGCGGTGTCAGCACGATGGCCGCCATGGGGCCTGTCCTCCCAGGGCTTGGGCTCAGTGCCTTCTCAGGCTTTTCCCCCTCACCAGTGCCTGGTGGCACAGGGTTATGCTGCTCCCCATGAGGTCAGCAGTTTGAAACCACCAGCTACTCCATGGAAGAAAGCAGAGGCTTTCTATTCTTGTAATGAGTTATCGTCTCAGAGGCTCACAGGGGCAGTTCTACCTTGCCCTGAAGGGTCGCTGTGAGTCAGAACTGACTGATGGCAGTAAGGTTTGTTGTGGTCTGAGTGCTTGGCATAAGGGGCCCCAGGGGAGAGCTCTGTGCTTGGAGATTTCCTTCGGGGATGACAGAGCCTCCATCCTATCCTGTCCGCAGTGATGTCGTATCCTTCCCCTCCTTTCCCGAGCCCTCAGCTACAAAGCTAAGCCTGGTTTCCCTGCTGTCTCCTGACTTGTTCTCTCCCCTCCCTTTCTCTAAGGAAGCTAGGGCTCTGGCTGGTCCTACTTAGAGTTTTGGTATTTCCCAGCTCTTGCAGGCATGACCTGAGTCCTAGCATTTAGGGGCCAGGTGTAGGCCCCAACGATCCGATTTGGAGAGCCAGGCTGGTGTCTGCCAGCCCCGGGGCCAGTGCTCTAGAGGAGGATAGGGATGACCCTTGGAGGAATGGACAGAGAGAACGCAAAGGGAGAAAAGCGCAAAGTCAAGGGGGCCTGGATTTGTGACTTCCCTCTGCCCTGTTCTTGTTTGCAATGGTATGGGGGCCATGAGGATGGAGGGGAAGCTCACTCTGACCATCTTTGCTATTTTCCTTGGGGACCCTTCGCCTTATCCGGGCAACTCTAGTTCTCCCTGTGCACAGAGGGACCTGGAAGTTTATAACAAGTGTTTCTTCCTCGGCCTTTGGAATGACGTGATTGTTTGTATAAAGCATTCACCTTTGCCATGTGCTCGGTTCACACAGGCTCCCATTGACTGTGTATTGCCAGACTAATTGGGTGGGAGAGGAAATGGAGGGGTGGGGAGGAAGGAGCTTTGCGGAAGAGTGATGAGGGGAGAGGCCAGTCCAGATGGAGGTGCCATAGGGAGGCCTGACTGCAGGCTGTGCATAGGAGCCTGTAAGCAGGAAGGTGCCCTGTGCTGAAGGGGTCCTTCTAGAGGGAAAGAAGCAGAAAGCAGTGGAGAGATGGGCACAGGCACAGGCCAGGACCCGGGGGGTGAGGAGGTCAGTTGAGCCCGAGGCCTCCCTCCCTGGGCTTTGGCTCTCTGTGTCCAGAGCCTCTGTGTTCTCCCTGAGGGAAGGGCCCACAGCCAGGATGGCTCAGCAGAGTGGGCTGCAGAACAAGACTGACTTTGTCTTCTGAACTCGCTAATGAGTCCAAATCTCAGCTCTGCCCCAAAGCTCAGGAGGAGCCCCCAGGATGCTCCCCGTGCCTTCTCCTCTCACTCGGATGAGAGCGGTGTCCTTGGTCTCGGGCTGCGGCTGAGCCGACCTTGCTGTGGGAAGGCCGGTACCTCCGATAGCCCTGCTCGGCTGGGCAGTCACGAAGGCGGGTGGGGTGGATAGAAAGAAACGGTATGACCCGGGCTCAGGAAAGCCCAGGGGTGCCAGCCTTTGACTTCCAACGCCAGACCCCCACAGGTGGAGACTGGCCAAGGCACCTGTGGTGAGTCCCTCTTCCCTGCCCTCTCCCCCATGCCAGCTCTCCTCAAAGCCCAACAGCCAGTCCCTGCGTGGTGGGAACTGGTCAGAAAGGAAGAGTCATCGGTTGCCACGATTACCTAAGAGGCACAGCCAGGATGACATGCTGCTGCTGGCTCAGCTGAGCCTGCCGTCTTCCCCCTCCAGCCTCCATGAGGACAGCTTCAGCACCACCAGCGAGCTGCTGTCCAGCCGCCGGGCCCGCCGCATCCCCAAGGTAGCTGCTTCCCCACATGGAGCTGGGGCCTCGCAGGTGGGCGGGCAGGCAGCCAGCTCTGCTCTCCTGCCTCTCCTCCCCGGTCGGCCCTGCTTCCTCGGTTCTCTTTGAATGAACTGTAGGTCTGTGGGCTGGCCTCTTTCTGCCACCTAGTTCTCAGTAACACAGACACATTCATGGATTCCTGGGGCTCGGCCCGTGCTTTCTACTCCCGTGCCAGTCTCAGCCGATCAGAATGGTCGACATATAACTCCCTCCCAGGAGAATGGACAACAGAAAAGTGGGTGAAGGGAGACAGCAGTCAGTGTTAGACATGAAAAACAACCCAATAATTTATAAATTATCAAGGGTTCATGGGGGCATGGGCGTGGGAATGAGCTGATACCAAGGGCTCAAATAGAAAATATTTTGAAAATGCTGATGGCAACATATGTACAAAGGTGCATGGCACAGTGGATAGATGTATGAATTGTGATAAGAGCTGTAAGAGCCCCCAATAAAATGATTTAAAAAAAAAAAAAAAGAATTCCAGTTTCAAAAACTTGCAGGGGCCAGTCAGACCTTCTCCTTATAGGCTCGCTAGGAGTCGGCACGGGCTGTCGACGGCAGTGAGTTGCAATGTAACAACGAGACCATGGAGGCTCCCCAGTAGTGAAGCCCAGTAGCAAGTGACTGTGAGCTTGGGGGGAGGGGGCTATCCATGCACCCGTAAACATTCCAGGCGCTTAAGAACCCAAGACCGAAGCCGTAGTCTTCCATTCTGTAACTTGCAGAGCCGAGACTTTTCAGCACCGCTGTGCACAGGGCAGCAGGGGCCTGAGCCCCACTCAGCCCAAAGCAGCAGGATTTAACCTAGTGGTATTTTTAGCCCACAAACAATGCTGGTGGGTATATTGGGAAGTAAACTTCTTCCTGTCCGGGCCCCAGGTCCTAACCCAGAGGGGAAAGGCTGGAATCCTTGTTCCTGTTTTGACTTTGGTAGCAGCTCTTTGTCCCAGACAGTTCGTTCAGTGACTCTGGGGACCCAGGAGCTCCTGCCCTGTCTCGTTGGATCACAGTTTCTTCCTCTGGGAGCTAACACCGTGTCGTGTCTTTGTCAGAGGCTAGTCAGTGGAGAGCTCCCAAGCATGGCCAGTGAGTCTTAATACCAGGCCTGCTGGGGGACCAGGATGGGGAAAGGTGGTGGGGCAGGGGTTTGGAGGGGCGGGGGTCAGCGAGGGGGCCGGGGTGGACACAGAAAGCTTGCATCAGCAACAGAAAGCTAGGCCCCTAATTAGCACCTTGGAAGTAGGGGTATTTGGTTCTGGGGTCACCTCACCCTTCCTGCTTCCCTCCCCCAGCTTGTCCAAAGAATTAACTCCATCTACAGTGCCAAGCGGGGGAAGAGGAGGTTGAAAAAGCTTTCCATGTCCAGCATTGAGACGGCGTCGCTGAGAGGTAGGCGTGGACGCCTGAGCGCTGTCACAAGTCTGGGGCCCCTGCCCATTAGGAGCAGGGACCGGCTTCAGCTAACTCCGTTGGGCCACTGCAGGAGGGCCGAGCCCTGCTGGGAAGTGGCCACCTAGGAGGGCGGGCCAGAGAGAGACCGGAGCCTGGAGGTGGGTGTGGGAACCTGCGTCTGGTGAAAGGAGAGGCCCGGCTTATGGAGTTCTGTGGTCCGTTTCCGATTTCAGTCCTGGGCCTCCAGGAGGGCAGGACCCTTGGGTTGGTTCCAGTCCTGTGGGCCTCTTCATCAGCCCAAGTCCTCAGCCCTTTCCCACCCAGATCAGGACCTGAGAGGCTTTTCTATGGGTTAGCGACCTCAGAGACGCTGGCCATGGGCCCCCAGGATCCCAGAGGAGGTTTGGACCCTTCTCTCTGGAGAAGAGCCGGGAGGGGCGTGGACAGCCTTTGCCGGGGGCGGGGCTCAGCGGGCTTGTCCTTGCTTTTCCAGATGACAACAGTGAAAGTGAGAGCGACTCAGACGACAGGTTCAAAGGTGAGCACTCAGCTCTCCCGGAGCAATCTTCTCTCAGCCCTGCCTGCGGGAACCAGCCTTCCCTCCTCCGCACACGGCACGCGTGCTTCCCGTGTCCCCACCGGGCCTGGTCCGAAGAGGAGGGTGGTCCAGCAGATCAGGGAGCATTAGGGAAGCCAGCTCCCAGAGCCATTGGTGCTTAGTGCTGTATGGGACAGCCAGACATCTCTTGACCCAGACTTAATAAACCCGATGACGCTGTGTACCCTGCCCAAGCTGTTGCCCACGGGAAGTGGGTGCTAGATTCTGGAGGGTCAGAGGTGCCTCTTCTGGGCCTCTGGGGGTAGTAAGGCCGCCTGTCTCTCCAGCCCTCAGAGAGGAAGACTTCCTTCCATCTCCTCAAAAGGTACTGAACCCCTCCACCTCACAGGGCTGGAACAGATCTGTTTGGGCCCTTAGGAAGCCCTGCCGAGGCCATCCTAGATGGGGGAGTGTTGGGGAGCTTGCTTCTCCTTCCCTCTTTCCCCCGGGTCCCCCGGGCAAGTGGGCAAGTCCACCTGGGACCTGGGGACAGACTGAGGAAGGACCCATGTGCACGGACTTTGGTAGGGTCTCAAGGTGTTCAGTTCCTTCTAGTCTTATGTTGGTATATAGGCAGGGGTGGGGTGAGTGCCAGTGACTTGCCCCTGCATTTGCCCAGAGCCCTGGCAGCAGAGGGCTTATGCACTGGGCTGCTAACCACAAGTTCAGCAGGTTGAAACTGCCAGGCGCTCCCTGGGGGAAAGACAAGGCTTTCTACTTCTAGAAACAGTTACAATCCTGGAAGCCCACAAGGGCCCTTTACCCTGTCCTGTCGGAAGCAACTTGATGGCAGTACATTTTCAAATTTTGTTTGGCTTTGAAGTGCTGCTATGAGCCCTGGCTCAGCCTCAGGAGCTCAGTCGGACCAGGCCAGTAGCTTCTTGTGTTAGCGTAGTATCTGTGTAGGTGTGGGCCCCTCACGCCTGTACTGCTCCCTAGACGGGATGGGGCAGGCCAGGTGCACGTCATCACAGGAGAACCACAGAGCGGGCACCCTGAGTCGGGCTGCAGTGGGGGGCTTAGGTGGGAAAAGAAAGCGAGGGGCCAGTCTGCTTGCCTCCTGACGTGTGGCCTGCCCCCAGCCCACACGCAGCGCCTAGTCCACATCCAGTCGATGCTGAAGCGTGCGCCCAGCTACAGGACGCTGGAGCTGGAGCTGCTGGAGTGGCAGGAGCGGGAGCTGTTTGAGTACTTTGTGGTGGTGTCCCTCAAGAAGAAGCCGTCCCGAAACACCTACCTCCCAGAAGTCTCCTACCAGTTTCCCAAGGTCAGCCCCCCCCACATCCCTCCAGCCACCCAGCCCTAGAGCCATCCCGTGCACCCAGCAGCCACACCCCTGGGCCCCCTTCCCTTCTGCCAAGGGCGGCCAGAGGGGGCTTTTAGATGCTGTGGGTTTGGCCCCCTGCTCATTCCGGGGGTGGGGAGGTGCTCAGGATAGACCCCTGCTCTCAGCAGCTTTATTGAGAGCCAGTTTCCTCAACAAAGAGGTCACCCATGTTCAGTGTATACCAGATGGTTTCTTGGGATCCTCACACAGTCATACATCCTTCACCTGCTGCAACTTGAGAGCATGTTCACTATCCCCCCAAAAAAGCCTGTGTACCAGGAGCGGTCATTTTCCATTGCGCCCTCCCCAACCTTCTTTCCTCCCAACCTTGCCCCGCTCACCACCAGACTGCCAGTCTGGCCTCCCCTCCGTCTCTGTCCAGACTGCCCCTCTTTCCCTCAGTCCTGCGTCTCTGCTCAGGCAGGACAAGTCCTGCTTGCCCCACCCGCTGCCACGTCACCTAGTTGATTCCCTTAGCGGCACCCTGAGAAATGGCCTCCTTCATTATGTCACTCTGCTGACCTGCCTTGTCCCCTGTCTCACACGGTGGGAGCCTCGGCACCAGAGGGCACCTGGGAAGAGCTCGCACACTCGGTATTTGCTGGTGGGTGATGATTTGACCCACATGCAGGCCTGTGTGTCAGCGCTGTGAGCGGGTTTCTGAGAGGCATGCTGGTTGGTAGCATGACATCTCGGTCCCCCGGGGGATGTTCCATGTCATCACTTGTCTGTCTGCTCCCCGTATTCCGCTTCCCCACAGCTGGACCGACCCACCAAGCAGATGCGGGAGGCAGAGGAGAGGCTCAAGGCCATTCCCCAGTTTTGCTTTCCCGACGCCAAGGACTGGCTTCCCGTGTCAGAGTATAGCAGGTGAGCCCTGCAGGGGCCAGCTTCTTCATTCCCACAGCAGTGGCCAGCTGAGTGGGCCCACCCTAGTCCAGCCCTCCTCTTCTGCAGCAGCCTGGCCCTTCACCTCACTTTCTGCCCCCCCTCCTCCCCCAGTCTGCCCTATGACAGTCTCTGTTCTCCTGGGGACTTGCTCCGCCCCTCTGATAGCACCCCTGAATCCGACCCTTCCCTGTTCCAGCGAGACCTTTTCTTTCATGCTGACGGGAGAGGACGGCAGCCGACGCTTTGGCTACTGCAGGCGCTTACTGGTGAGTGGGGCAATCCAGTCCTTGGGGGCTGGCAGGCCAGGGTGGGCCCCGTGGCATTTGAGTGCCTGTGTGTCCTTCTGCAACTCCAGTCTGCCCCTTGTCCTGAGCTTCCCACTCCCCCCAACACACCCATTCACAGTTGGTGCCCTCCTGGGACAGCAGGGCCCAGCCCAGAGTGGCCCCTCAGCGTTGACTAGGATGAGATTGTCTGCCAAGAAGAGGCGGGATTGGGCTGTGGCTTCCTGAGCTATCCTTTCTTTTTTCACACTTTGCCGATATTTGTTTTTCATTTTCCTTGGACTTTTGGACTCTGGGTGGTTGCTGGTCAGAACCTCTGCAGGATCCTGTTGCCCCAGCAGAGAGAGAGAGAAGAGAGCACATTAGATTAGTAGATTGGAGTAGAGACTTCCTCACCACCATGTTAGGTACCTGTTCAGTGCCATGCTGAAGGCATGGGATGAGATGGACATGTGTCTGATCGAGGAAGTTACGTGGTCACTCACTGCCATCAAGCTGAGCCCACCAGAACTTCCCCTGTGCGTTTCCAAGACTGTCACTCTTTACGGGAGTAGAAAGCCTCATCTTTGACCCGAGGAGTGGCTGGTGGTTTTGAACTGCCGAACGTCTTTATGGTTAGCAGCCCACCGTGTAACTTCTCCACCACCCGGGCTCCTGCACCCTCAGCTGAGACAGGAAAAACACAAAGAGCAGACTTCCGTTTTCATGCAAATACTCATGAGTTCAGCTTCTCGCCCAAAAGTTGGTGGCTCCATTCCATCCTGAGGGACGGACGGGAGAGCAAGATGTGGCAATCTCCTGAGGGGTCCCGGGCCCCACAAACTCTGCATGTATATGGGCCACAGTGAGGGGGACTGGACTTGGTGCGACAGGTGAGGTGCTGTCCGGAGGCATTTTCTTTCCTCCTGAGGACAAGCAGCTCAGGAGGTCTGCTCTGCCAGTCTCTAGCTCAGGAAACACACCGGGAGGTGGAAGGCCTTGTCCAAGATCAAACCGCCAGGGAGAACAGAAGCAGTCAGGTGCTCTTGGGGCACCCCGCGGCTAGTGTGCATTCTCAGGTGTCTGGCCATCAGGTGCCCGGGAGTGGGGCTGTGGAACTGCAGAGCCATATCCACACCAGGTGGAGGCTAGCCCTCCTGCATCCCCCGGGCGTCCAGAGTTGCCTGTGCAGGAGCAGAGGCCGCTCTGCTGCTCCCTTGCAGAGGGAGGGCCTGCCGCCCCCAGGGAAGCCTCTGTTTGTCCTGGCGTGCACAGAGAGGGCTGGGCTGGGTCCCCGCCAAGGGGGCTGGCACTAGCTCGGCATTCCTGCAGATTGGACACAATGATTCTAACCCAAATCCCACATACTTGATTTAATCACTTGGGCCTTTCGTGGAGGGGGGGGGGGCAGAGAGGAGCGAGTTTCAGGCCTAATATGGACAAAAACAGATTCTGACTTCTCTTTAGATTGGTGACGTGTGGCCAGCAGGTCTGGAGACTGAAATAGCCCCATCTGCATTTGCTTAGCAGCCTGCACGAGGGGCCAGGGGGGCCAGCACCTGCTGTTCTGCCCGTTCCCCCTCCCCCTCCTCGCAGCCTGGCCAGGCCCTCTGATCTCTGGCCCAGGGGCAGCCCTAGAGCCCTGCCACCCTGGAGGAAGGAGTGGATGGACTGAGCCCAGCGCATGGGGGCTCCCGGCCAGGGAGCTTGTTCTTATTTGCTCAGTAAAAGGGGAAACAAGACAAAATGAAAACACGGCCACCCAGTGTCCCTGTAGGGCAGGGTAGAACTGCCCCTGTGGGTCTCAGAAACCCTCATCTTTTTCCCACGGCGCGGCTGACAGGTTCAAACCGCTGACCTTGTGGTTAGCAGCCCAATACATAACCAGTACACCACCAGGGCTCCCCCTTGCTACATGCATACATTCCCAGTATTTAGATTTGGGCAGATGGCATCGTCTTTCTGAAGCCAGTTTCTTCATTTATAAAATGGGCATACTATCACAAGTTCATTTTGTTTGTAAAGTCCTAAGCCTCAGAGACGCGGAGAAAACGGAGTGCCCTTTCCTTGTCTGTTTTCTACTTGCCCTCTTGGAATGGCAAAAAGAGCAGTTCCCAAAAGGGATGTTTTTCAGAATGTGCCCCCCAGGGGTGAAAAGGTGAGGGGTGGGGTAGTAGGGTGGGCACAAGGCTGTGTCTTGCTTCTAAGAACGAACACGAGTCCCTCTCATTACCACAAGTCCTCTGATTACCTGGGACCCTAGCCCGAAGGCTGGAACGCCATGGACCGCCCCGTAGTCTCCGTTGGAGTGCTTCTGCCTTGCCCGCCCCAGCACTGGGAGCAGCCCGTGTGGAGCCTGGTGGGAGCGGAAGCACCCTGACTAGAAGCCTTAGCAGAGGCTGCCTTTCGGCCTGGTGGAAAAGTACAGGGGTCTGGAAGAGGCACAAATCTTCCTCAGTCTCCAGGTGAAGGAGTCACCCATGGTAATCAGCATTCTCTGTGTCTGTCTCCCCCTCCCCTCCGCGCCCCTGCCCAGCCAAGTGGGAAGGGACCTCGGTTGCCAGAGGTATACTGCGTCATCAGCCGCCTTGGCTGCTTCGGCCTGTTTTCCAAGGTAAGAGGGCTCCAGGCTTGCCTCCCTCCTCTCCCCTCCCCACAGCGGACAGCTAGCTCCCTTTGGAGTATCTGCAGCCAGCTCAGAAGAGAAAATCACCTGCGTGTGTGCGTGTGCATGTGTACAGATGTACGTACGTACATGGGTGTGATGGAAGAGAGAGGACAGAGCGAGTACAAGCTCGCTCTCTGACACCCTCCTCCTTCCCAAGCCTGGCTCTCACCTAGCCAGCTGGCATGTCCCCAGCTTTCGCACTGCCCATGTCTGCTCACCAGAGCGAAGCCGGAGCCCTTGGGGACGGAGACCATGGTGGAGAGGGGCTGGGGGAGGGCTGAGCGAGATACTTCACAGGGTTATTATAATCCCTTCCTTTGCCCCTCCGTGTGCTTGGCTCCTGAGGACAGAGGCGGGTACCCACTGGGGGGAGCAGAGCAGGCAGTGGGGTCCCAGAAGTGAGGAAGCAGAGTGTGAAGACCCAGGCAAGACAGTCGTCCTGACCGGCAGCATTGGGCCGGGGAGTTGGGCAAGGGCAGTGCCCTGATGCCCCTCCTCCTGGGGCTGCTGGTGGTGGGCACAGGTCCTGGACGAGGTGGAGCGCCGGCGTGGGATCTCTGCCGCCCTGGTCTATCCCTTCATGAGAAGCCTCATGGAGTCACCCTTCCCTGCCCCCGGGAAGACCATCAAAGTGAAGACCTTCCTGCCGGGGGCCGGCAACGAGGTGAGGACTGCAGCTGCCTCTTCCCTCGGGCCTGGGCTCCGGTGGGCGTCGGAGTGGCCTGGTCAAGCTGGCAGTGTCCAGAGGTGCGGCGCCCACTGCATCCAGACATTTGATCCTGAGAGGTGAATGATTGAACTGTAATAGCTGCCCATCTCCACTCCCCTGAGGAGCCTTCACTGACAAACCCCCGGTGCGGTGCCTGTTTGGACAACACTGTGTGCCCCACACCCGCTCCTTGTAGTCTGTCATCAGCTATCTTCCGGGACAGAGCCAGGGAGCTAAGGAGGACACTGCCCCTAGGGTCCTCATGGTGTCTGCACACAAACAGGTCCTTCCCAGATGTGCCAAGTGTCACATGAGAGTGGCAAGGCCGGGGGAGCTGCATTACATGAAGGGGTCAGAAGGTCCCCTTTGAGGAAGCAAAATTGTATCAGACATCTCAGGCTGAGTCAGAGCGGCCAAAGGAGGAAGGAGACAGACCAAGAAGGATCTGGACAAGGGGAGTTACTCCAGGTCAAGGAACATGGTAGACAGGATGAAGGGAGAAGCTCGTCTGAAGGTCAGGGGCTGAGAGGAGCTGTAGGGTTGTTAGAGGCAGTTGGGTGCCTGGGTGCGGTGAGAATGGCCTCGAACCTACTGCCATCAAGTCGCTGCCAATGCACAGTGACCCAGTAGGTCAGGGTAGAGCTGTCCCTGTGGGGTTCTGAGACTAACTTTGTACCCAAGGAGAAAGCCCCGTCTTTCCCACACAGCGGCTGGTGGTTTTGAACTGCTGGCCTTGCTGTTAGCTGCCCCATGCGTAACCACTGCACCACCGGGGC